AGATGTTTTCTAAGATGACATCCAGTCTCTGAGAAGCATTTGTAAAGCTTTCGCCCGCCAAGCCTTTCATACCCACTGTGTGGTTCCTCTGCAGGCCGGGGCCCCGAGCATGGCCCGACGCTCCGTCTTGGGTTTCATCCTGCTGAGCGCGCTGATGGGCAAGAGCAGAGCCTGTTTCTGCGACCATTACCCATGGACTGAGTGGTCCAGCTGCTCAAAAACCTGCGACACGGGAACCCAGAGCAGATACCGGTGGGTGTGGGTGTGAGCCGTGCAGCTTTTCTGTGTGCCCTGGGAAGGACTCACTGAGAAATATCAAAAGTGCCAACTAGGCAATGGGAAAAACAATATATCTCAACATAAGAACTCATGAACTTGCATGGAGCTTGAGGTCTTTTCCACGGAAGGTTGAATGGAAGTCTGCTTTTGTTCTTCCATAAAACTGAGGAGTTTCAAAGAAATTTAATTGAGAATCTGTGCAATTTTTTCAGTTGACTCTTTACTTAGTATCACTACTCAAGCTTTTTATTCAGTCATCATATAACTGCTTGCCACCAGCGAGTGAGTTAATTATAGAGCATTTTCTACTCATTAAACAGAGCCTAACAGGACCTCCACCGAGCAGCACGGCTGACTATTAGCTTGATTGTCGGCATGTGCGAGAAGCAGGAAAACTGCGCAACATTTAGTCTTTCCACCAATTCAGACGACTTGGCCCCAGCAGTTTTAAAAAATCTGTTAGGTGTTTCTGTTCCATGGAGATGCTCACATGACTTTGGGGGAGAAAGGCATATGTTTATTATGTTTTGGCTATCACAGCACTTTTTAGAAACTTATTTTAGGAAACTATTTTTGCATAGGTAGTGAGTCTCATTAAAACAACCGATTGACTTCCCCAAGGAGCCAGCCACTAAGTATGTGAGAACAGATTTGTTTATAATACTGTTCTACTGAAGAGACCCTCGGGAGCTCTCCCCCCCCCAAGCAAAGTTCAGCAATAAATCCGGTTCCTCCCCACTGTGTGCTTCTCCAGCCCTCGCCACAGGCTCCTCCACGGACAGGCCACGCTCCTCCACACGTGGCCTTTGCACACGCCCTTCCTCCACACGCCCTTCCCTTTGTTCCTGGAGAATTCCCATGAGTTTTCCAAGAGGAATCTCTCCTGCCACTTTCTCCTTGGCTCCCTGGCCCCTCACCACTCTGATTCCATTTCGATCGCGGTACTTACCACCTTGTGTTGTCATCTTTTAAGCAGTTTGCAAGAACTTTCTCCCTCCCTTTCTTTCCCATCCACCGTCTTCCAGGAATTCCATCAGGGCCAGTGTCATAGGGAGTGACCCCACACTTACAAGGGCTTCATGCCTGGCTTAATGATGTATCATCACTGTCTTGAAATTCTTAACTTTTTAATAAGAGCCACCCACCCACCCTCCATTTTCATTTTGCACTGGGCCCCATAAATTATGCACCTGGTCCTGAGTTCCATGAAGTAGCAAGGGCTGCATTTAGGCCAACCTAGCTGATTTTTCATGAAAACCTTCTTTGCTTTTATTCGTTGTGGTTAATACTCCATGGTGCTTTTCTTAGGGGGCTGGAGCCACAGTGAGTATACCCATTCTAAGCAGATTTTTTCTCACCGTCACAGACAAGTAGTAATAAATGATTACTACGTGAAGAACTCCTGCATGCAGCTTTGCACCCTCAGGGAGATCAGAGAATGTAACTGGAAAGCTTGTCCTGTCAACTGCCTCCTGGGAGATTATGGACCATGGTCAGACTGTGACCCTTGCGTTGAGAAACAGGTAGGTGAGGCATGGACATAGTCAGGAAATCTGGATCACAATAAAAAGACTCAGGGTCCCTAAAAGGCTCAAAAATCACAGAAATGCTGAATTTCTTCAATTTCTGAAAGTAAACTTTCCCACCTTCCATTGAGGGGAAATTTCATTTAGCAATTTTTTGGAAGTCATGGGGGATTCATTTCCCATGTTTCCCTGTTGTATGACCACCGAAGGGAAATTGTGCCCCCCCGGACCCACACGGCGACTGCCCAGCTCTGTGCCCTCTGAGAACACAGGAAGCAAAAGCAGGTGCTAGAAAAGGAGGGTTTCAGTCCAAGGTTCATAATTAGACGGAAATTTGGAACATTAACCAAAAGCCTGACTCCTTGACCTTCCTCCTACTTCCCTCTCCCCCTGGGAAAGTCCTTTGGTGTGTTTATTGTTCCTGATGCAATATTTACCCACCTCGAGCTCATTCCTGTAAGGGCTTTGCCCGTGCGAACCCCTTCAGGGCAGGTGCTGAGCACTCGCACATGGGGGGAAAGAATGAAGCTCATCTGTGAGGCACCCACTCTCTGAGCCAAACTTTACATGCGCCCCTTATTCAAACTTCACACCACATTGTTGTTTTCGACCCATTTTACAGATGAGGAAGTTATGGCTCATTAGGAGTTAAATAATTTGCTCAAGAATACACCACTAATGCATGTAGGAGCTGCATTCTGATCTCAAATTTTTCTGACGTCAAAGTCAGTACCTTTTAATCCTGTCATATTTCTTTCCTTCCCTGACTCTGTTCTGCTACTTACCATTTAAAATCCTTTAAAGTACAGAGAATGTGTCAACCTTGGTTTCCATGGTGACTTCCTTGTGCAAAAGAACTCCCAAATCCTTTCACATTCATCACTCAGGTCACACTGGCTTCGAGATAGACAAGGGCTGTTATTATCACCCTGAAGAATCTGCACTCAGGAGACACTCAGTAAATATTTGTGCATTAGATTTTGATTTAATTTAGAATCATTTGATTTTAGAGCTGGAAGTCTATAGAAACTGAGGCCCAGAGAGGTGATAACTTCCTTAAGGACACACAATCATGGAATCAGCAAAATCATTCATTAATTCAGGAAGCACCACTATAATAACCATCACTACCGTGACTGAGAAGCCCAGAGTCCTTAGCTACACCTTGGCTTTGACCCTGCCTCAGACTTACGCATCTCCCCTCCTTTTCTTTCAGTTTAAGGTCAGATCTATTTTGCGCCCCAGTCAGTTTGGAGGAGAAAAGTGCACGGAGCCCCTGGTGAATTTTCAACCATGCATTCCATCTAAGCTCTGCAAAATCACAGAGATCGACTGCAAGAATAAATTCCGTTGCGACAGCGGTAATGTACTTTTGGAAAATGCTCAGCCGCCACTAAACATGACTTGACTAACCTAAAGTTATTCCAACTGACTCCAGTCAAAGCTGGACAGAGGAGTCCCGCCGCGTTTTAGGCGTGGGAGGTGGAGGGGTTATGCTGCGGGTTACTGAGCTGTTCGCGTGTGAAATGACAGCCTTCAAGCTACAGCCCCTTGCCCACCCACCCGATTCACTTCTCCTCAAGTACTGGTGGCCAGGTCCCCACCCTGCTATAAAGCACCAGGGAGAGGGAGGGAGAGGAGGGAAAGAAGAGCGGGAGGCAGATACTTTTAAAAGTTAACTATTAGCCTGGCCGGGTGTGGCTCAGCAGTTAAGCATTGGCCTAGGATCCAGGTGATCGAGGTTCGATTCCCGGTCAGGGCACATGCCCGAGTTGCGGGCTGCAGCCGATCAATGACTCTCTCATCATTGACGTTTCTATCTCTCTCTCCCTCTCCTTTCCTCTCTCTGAAATCAATAAAGATATATTTATAAAAAAAAAGTTAACTATTAATAAGCACAAATCTATAATCAGAATAAGCAATTGAGAAGGGGCAATAAATTTAAAAGAGTTTCATATAGTTTATTCAGCTAAGAATATTAATATTGAGATATTATGTCATGAGTCAATGATTAGAGATGGTGTGACACATTTTCGGGGTGGTCCATTGATTGGCTCTAAAAGTAATTCCAAAAGCAGAGACTGAAAACGATTTAAACACTGGCAACATTCTCTTCAAGTCCAATACTCATTCAGATTTATAAATTTTGTTAAGTTTCACCAGATCACAATCAAATATTGACTATACTACTTAATCTATCTTTTGTCTTACTAATTAATAGCCCTTCAGTGCTCACCATTTCCAATAGTCTAGATCAGATTTCAGCAAACTTTTTCAGTAAAACCTCAGGTGATAAATATTGTAGGCTTTGCAGGTCATAGGCCTATGTTGCAGCTCCTCAGCTTTGGGTCTTAGCATTAAAACTGCCATAGACAGTCTATAAACAAATGAGCATGGCTGTGTTCCAATAAAGTTTTATTTACGAAAACAGGCAGCCGGTCAGTTTTAGCTCCTGGGTCATAGTTCACTGACCTCTTATCTAAATAGTCAATTTGAAGTTAAATTTAGAGTTCAGATTAATACAATTCGTATCATTTTGTGTACTTTGGAATGCACTGGGAACTAACGTATTTATAACTAGATAGCAGATTTCGAATTCCATAGAAAATTGAGCCCAGACCTTGGCATAAGATTTTCCTCCTTTTACTTCTTGCTTCCTGCCTTCAGCTTTGCCAGTCTTTTCTAAACGTCAGACAGAAATGCTGGTGTCAGGGTTGTCCCTCTGGGCCCTGCTCCCCCAAACCTGGAGTAAGAGGGTGGGACGAGGGTAGGGAGATACACAGCATGACTATGTGAATAAGGACCTGTGAGATAACTGACAAAAGAGGACAGGGGGAAATCTCGGTGGTAGTGGCTGAGGAGACTGCAGACTGAAGCGTTATATCCAGAATATTCTGATGAAGGTTTAGGACTGAATTATAACTGTTTGAATCTTGAGGGAGAGAGAGTTTTTAGAACAAATTACCAGGAAAAACTCCTTTACTTAATAGATAATAAATTCTACAGTTTCTTACAAAAGAGCTTTGTTTAAGCCAAAGATATACACAAGTTTAAGAAGGCTTTAAATACATTCAGAGGCCACCAATTCATAATGAGCGATTTCAGGAAAGTTAGTGAGATACTTACAGCTAGTCACTAGTTCATCAGTAATATTTCCACAGCCATTGATAAAAAACTACATTATTGAAATGCATCTGCAATAGTTAGTAAGCAGCTACTACCCTGAGCTCCCTGCCCTGCTGCCCAGGTCCCTTCACCATGAATCCCTAGATCTTCCCATGATTCAGCCATTCGCTGGTTAATCCCTGGCACAGATTTGGTTGGCAACCGTTCCGATTGAGTGATGTATGGCCTAATGGTCATTAAATAGTCTACTAAAGATGGTATTCTAGTCTGCTCTCTTAAAAACATCTCAAAGGGAATAAAAGGTTGGATGGACCATCATTTTCTGACTCAGAACTGTCTGTCCTAAACAGAGCTTCCCTCTTCCCTTTCCTCCCTCACAGTGTCTGTTCAGAGTCCTCCAAGAGTCCCCAAGACTAAATCTATTAGTTCACTGAATCTGAGAATTGCCCATGAGGCTCACCTCCATGCACTGTGCCAACTCCTCTCTCAAAGCCCTCATTTTAAGCACAGAAAACTGGAGAACTTGCAGCAGGTGTTAAAAATAATATCATTGCAGTAACAAAAATCAGTTCAAGTAGATAGAAAAAGCACGTACAATTTCTAAATGATTGCATGGCTCCAGGAATAAGTGTATACACATTATGTGTATGTGCTGGCTGATTACTAAATCCTGCTCTATCTGGACTGCCCTTCCCTTCCCCATCCTTCTTTGGTAGAAGATATGTGTGTGGCTCACAATATCTCTCCCTTGGTGGTTCCTACTCCATTGAGTTTTTGTGGCCTGGAACCATTCTTAGCTGTGTCCCACCAGACTTATATCACACCTGCTACCCAGTCCTAGCTATCATTCAAGAGGTGTTCTCTTGCTTTCATCCCTACTCTTGCTAATAGGTCAAAATAGATAGAATTTCTTGGGTTCTAACAAATCTGGTACCCTGCTCAGGAAGCTAGACTAATGAGATCTGTATCCTGCATGTGTATCCCTACCTCTGTTCCATAAAATAGGATTTTTTTAGTGTAACCATATCAAAATTTAGCTTTTGCTCAAATGTGTAAGTGCCAGATTCAAAACCTTTAAAAATGTAATATTTGGGGCTTTTTTTCTTTAGCAAAAGCTTCTTCTTTTCAAATAAAATTACCCAGTCTATTCTGCCCTGAAAACAAACAAACAAATAAAAAACTAGAAATGTGCTCTTTTAAAAACAGGTCATCTTTCAGGTTGTATCCTGGGATTAACAGAAATTCTATTCTCTCTATGTTTTCAGTCTTGTGTGATTCAGGGGTGCATAGCTATAATTCTTTATAATCCTGGTCTAGAGGCAATACAAAGTTTTGAACAATCTAAGAAGAACTTAATTACTTTCTTACACTCTACTTTCTTAGTGAAAATTATTAAGTGCTTTCTAGGGAACTCTCCATTAATAAAAAAAAAAAAAAAATGTATTCAACAGACTACCCAGTTTCCCCAAGCATTTCTGTTAGTCCAAATAGTCACACATAGTTAGGGTGATACACTGATCACAACCTAAAATAGTCAACCAGATAATCTTGAGTAAAACATTGAAGGATTGATAGTGAGACCTGTACATAAGGGTAGGACGCCACGCCCCTGATTACAGGCAAGAGGGTGGGGGACAGGAGAGGGGCTGTCCTTGTGCATGAGGCATTTCAGTTTCTATAACATATAGTCACTGATTCCAAGGATCCTTATGAAATGCAGTAAGTTTAAAAGAGAATGGAATTATCCAAGTACATGAAGTTTGTACTATTTCCTGAACTCACTAATTTAGCTTACCTAATGCTGTAGCACGTAGGCATTGAACTTGTCCAAAAAATAATTAGTATAGTAAATTATATGTAGCAAAGCAATTATATACAGTAGTTATATATAGTGACTTTATAATAAAAAATGTAATTGTGTAGAGTAAAATAATTATACATAGTAAAATGCACAGATAATAAGGGTGCAATTTTATTTTGATGAATGTATCCCTCCGTGTGAACAACCCCCAGTCCAGATACAGGAAATATCCATAAGCCTGAGGAAGCTTCTTGTTCCCCTTGTTCCCGAACATCACATAAAGGAATCATGCGGCATGACCCCTGTGTGTCTGCCTTCTTTCACTCAACATATAATTTTAGACATTCAGCCATGTTACCATATGCATGTGTGTGTGTAAAATTACAGGTTTGGTTTCTTAAATAAAACAGGGACCTTGGGTCTGCTATCCTGAGTCAGAACAAAATTCTGAACCTACTGTTTGTTTTCTCCTACAGAGCGCGATTTCTGCAGAAAGGTCGCTGTGATGGGAATGGGATTCTAGATTTCATTCTCTTATTTAAGACAGTCACCCCCATGGTGACTAAATAATCTGTGGTGGCTCTTTTAATCCTAAAACAAATAGGAGAAAATATTTAGTATATCATTCTATTTCCCTATGTTCCTAAATCTTTATCAAAAATAATGAAAACTTGGGTGGGTACTAGACTTATTGGGCAATCACTTTGTGAATGTCTAACCACTATGCTGTGTGCCTGAAACTAATATAATATCTAGTGTCATCTGTAATGGAAATATTTTTTTTAATTTTAAAAAGTAAAACATGGCCCTAGCTGGTTTGGCTCAGTGGTTAGAGCGTTGCCCCTCCAACTGTAGGGCCCCAGGTTTGATTCAGGCCAAGGGCACATACCTCGGTTGCAGGCTCAGCCTCAGTCAGGGCTCATGTGAGAGGCAACCAGTCGATGTGTCTCTCTCACATCAATGTTCCTCTCTCTCTCTCTCTCTCCCTCCTACCCTTCCACTCTCTCTGAAAAGCAATGGAAAAAAATATCTTCAGGTGAGNCCTCCTCCCCTTCCACTCTCCCTGAAAAGCAATGGAAAAAAATATCTTCAGGTGAGAATTAAAAAATAATAACTAACTAACTAACTACTAACTAAATAAANATAAATAAATAAATAAATAAATCATGATCTTGAGTGAGTCAGTTAAAAAATAATGAAAACTTGCTTTTAACTTTTTCTTGGAATTTAAGGCACTAATGTTTCAAATCGATAAATACTGTCTTTAATGATCATTTGTGGTCAATGTTGTTTGCTTTTCTTGACTAGGCCGCTGCATTGCCAACAAGTTACAGTGCAATGGAGAAAATGACTGTGGAGACAACTCAGATGAAAGGGATTGTGGGAGGAAAAAGTCAGTGTGCCGACGCAACTATGAGCCCATCCCCAACGTATACATGATGGGCGCCGGGTAAGTAACAGCTTTTTATCATTTGGGGGAATAGCAGCATCTCAGAACTAATGAGTTGGAAGCAGCAATGAAGCAATGAGGCACTGTCTGCTTCCTCATTTATCTCTTACCACTCTTGCCAGCCTGCCTCTGGCCCTTGGCTACCGTGCTCGGGTAGCCTGTGGCCACGACCCTCGCTCCTAGGGAATAAAATTACTTAGTATTTTCATATTTACCTTGTGCCAGGCAATGTCATGTGCCCTCCATTCTCATGTATCCTTCTGACAAGCTCCGGAGCAGATCAGGGCAAAATGGTAGGAGGCCAGCCAAGCTGGGAGGTGCCAGGATGAATTCCTGGGCTAGGTCTTGAGTGGGTGAGTACCACTCGGAAATGGCAGGAGCAAATGGAGAAGGAGGGTGTCAGAAAAGTATGCCTAGGGCTGTGTCAAAAGTCAGAACACTGGAGAAGTCCCCAAGGGTAAGAGTCAAGCCCTGAGTCAGCAATGGGAGACCAAGTGGAGGAAAGGGCTTAGACAAACATAGAAGAGGGGGTGGTAAAAACAGTGGTGTGAGAAAGTTAAGAGAGTTAGAGGTGAAATGAACATGGCTAGGGTGTCCAAACTTTTTCTCACATAAACTATATGATGCCTGGGAAGGTCAGTACAGTTTAAAGGCCAAAGTTCAGACCTGCATTACCAGATGGTTCTTGTTCAATTTACAAACTGCACCTCAGAAAGTTTCAATAACCTGTCCAGGTCTACCATCTAGTAAATGATAGAACCAGGATTCAAATCCAGACCTCAAAACCCAGGTTATTTTCGCCATTTCATGCTAATTTAGGACAATAACCACCTTAACAATAGGAACATACTGGAAGAAACCTCAAGAGGCCATGTGACACTCATCTTAATCTTTGAATTGTGCTCAAAAATTCTAATATTCCCATTTCAGAAATTCTTACATTTGTCTTTCAGGGCATGAGGGCATTGGCAAGGGATTCTAAATTTATTATACTGAGTCAATGGCTTAAAAAACTTTACAAAATGTAAGAAGAGTCNAGGTTTGGCAAGGGATTCTAAATTCATTATACTGAGTCAATGGCTTAAAAAACTTTACAAAATGTAAGAAGAGTCAATGGAAACAGAACTAAGCCTTAGTTGGAAGCATCAGAAAAATCAGTACAGATAATCTCCTGTACTCTCCTGCTCCCATGATAAAGAAATCTCACTTCGATTTTTGTCCAGAAGGCAAATGGTTTGTTATAGGCTTTTATTGCTTTGTATTGGACTTTTTTTTTTAAGTCTTCACTTACACCACCAGACTTGCATAATATGAAGCCTTGAGGTACCAAAGACAAACAGCAGCCATTGCAAATACAACCTCATTTGATTAGAATAAATTCCAGAAGCTATTGGACCAAACTCAAGGACAGCAGTGAAATGCAACAGCCATTAGCTTGGAATTAAGGGGAGCCAGGTGCAAGACCTAGCTCTGCATTAACTCACGACATCATGACCAAGTTGTTGAACATCTCTCGGCTGCAATTTCCTCTCTGGTATGTCAGATGACTGCAAACTTATCTGAGGTTCTGTCCTAAGAATTCCTAATTAGAGTTGATGTCAACGAGGGCATTTCAACAGCATCTTCTTATCAATGTGCAGAAATGGTTTCCTTTTTTTTCTTTCCCTGGGAGAAAACCTCAGCCAAAACTCCCACTTGATAACCCTGTTTTCTAATGTTTTGATTGATGAGGGGTGACATTACAATCTCACCTCTGGCTCAGTTGGTCTAGACTCTAGAGTTGCAGATGGGGAGGACCACACGCTACGTGTACTTTGACAGAAGGACTATGTGGCCCTTTGCCAATCACAGCTGCTGTCCCAAGGATTCTCAGAAATGAGCAAAGCCTGCTGGCTCGGGACAGCCAGTCCTCTCCTCACCTCCCCAAGAGCTGAGAGTTTGGAGAGCCGTGCTTACTGGGATCTTTTCCTAATCTGCTGGCCTGAGAATCTCTGCCCCTCTCTGACACATTTCTACCCACAAAAAGTGACTTCCTGGACAACGGTGTCTATTCTTAAATGGCATCTCCCCAAGGAAGAATTTAACAAGACAGAACAACAGTCTCATTGCCAACATCAGTCACCAGGTCTTAAACCTGAAGCAAGAATCAGGCAATGTTAGCATGCTGTTTATTTTTTCCTCAGGTTCCCCAGGTTCAGCCAGGGTACAAATAAATGCATACACACACACACACACACACACACATACGTATACACATGCCTTTGTGTGTATCTATATATATATATATATACAGTAAGTAAATATATATATAACTTTTAAATAAATCCAAAAAGTTATAAAAATATGACAAATTAAACCAAATTAGATAACAGCCCTTTAGAAAACTATAATATTAAAATTCATAATGTATTTGAAACACCAAAATGTTTAAAGTTAATTTAAATACCACAGAGCAGAGAAGGAAGAATAGGGCAGAAAACTGCTACACAGTTGACTTAACTGATAGAAGATTCCTCAGGCCTGGCCTGAGAGAGCCACTTTTATGGAAATCCTATCTTCGGGCTCCCTACAAGCAGCTGCCACCTTAGGAGTTTCCTTATAACCTGGGCACCATTTTTGTTAAGCCCTTTCTTGTCTGTGACAAACTCATAAGAACATAACAGAAGGCATTACCAGGTCAGCAGTTCTTTATGCCTCATTGATCCCTCTTAAGTCAGAAAATGAAAATGAATGAGTCTGAAACACCTGTGTTTGTCGTGCTAACTTAAGTAGTTTGGAAATATCTTCCCAGACCAGCTCCTCGCACTTCCTCCCTCAAAGACCCATTTTGATACAAATTCAAATATGAATGAGAGCACACCTCAAATTGTGCTCACAGCCATTGGGGTATGAGATGCAGACCCCACAGGAATCACTCCCTTTTTGAATAGTTTCATTGAGCTATAACTCATGCAGCAGTCCTCCTGTGTACCTGTTTTACACTCACACCACTCACTACCACACTCATACTTCTGACACCAGATGTGTGGGAGTGCTCCTCCATGAGGCAATTCTCTGTGACACCAGCTGGGTGTCCTAGAATTTAATTCAACTCTGACACTATCTATCTGACACTATTTAGTGTTGATGCCACAGGTTAAGGGCTCAGTCCCACAAGACTTCCCTCCACTTCCGATGCCACTTCACCTGTGCTTCTGATACATTGAAGGTTCCCACAGACCCCTTCCTTGGGCTGGATTAATTTGCTAGAGGGGCACACAGAACCCAGTAAAACAATTTACTTACTGTTTACCAGCTTATTATAAGCAGCTACTATATAGGAGGCACATGAACATCCAGTTGGGAGGCATGAGTAGGGTAAGATGTGTGGGAAGAGGCCTTGTCTGCGGGATGTAGCACTCTACCAGCACCTCCATGTAGTCACCAAAACAGAAGCTCCCTGAGCCCTATTCTTTTGGAATTTTTTTTTTTTTGGAGGCTTCATCATGTAGGTATGATTGAGCCTTAACTCCATTCCCAGACCCTCTCCTCTCCCTGGAGAATGGAAGGTGGGGCTGAAAATTCTAAGTTTCTAATCCAGGCTTGACCTTTCTGGTGACCAGTCCCCATCCAAGAGCCCACGAAGAGTCACCTTGTTAGAACAAAAGACACTGCACATATGGACACTAGATTTATTGGAGGGATCACTTTGTAAGTTTTATAAATGCTTAATCACTAGGTTGTGCACCTGAAACTAATATAATATTGTAAGTCAACAGTAACTGAAAAATAATTTTTTAAAAAAAGAAAAAAGACACCGCTATCACCCAGGACATTCCAAGGGATTTAGGAGCCCTGAGTCACAATCTGGGGTCAAAGACTAAATACTAGAACAAAAGATGCTCTTAGTGCTCTTATCAGTTAGATTACAGGGGTTTTAGGAGTCCTGTGCCAGGAACTAGAGGCAAAGACCATTATATATACTTTCTATTTTCTCACCATATGTAATCCAGCATTACCAAACTTTTTGACACAAAACTCCTTTTCCCACAAAATACATATTAATATCTATAAGAATTTGGAAAACTCTTATTAGCATCTTAAAGGACTGTTTCATTTACCAAAAAATAATTTCTTAAATAATGATTTGTGCTAAGCCAATTAATCTCTATGTTTCAACTTCCTCATTTGTAAAATGGGTATAATAATTATATCTATATCACGTGGTTATCATAAATATTAAGTAAATATAATATTAAATATAGATGAAACAGTGCTTCACATATAATAACATGCAAGCATTTGTTAAATAAATTTTAAGTATTATTATTACTTCACAAAAAATAATGTTACTACAAGTCTATTAAAATGTTGCTATTACTATTTGAGCATTAGCTCCCTATAAGAATTCCTTTCCTGTATCATCCTGAAAGACGTGAACCTAGAGTGGCATTAATAATTTATTGATAATTAGGTAATAATTTATATCATAATCTGCTTCCAAAGTATGTGCTGGTTTCATAAGTCATAAAATAATGATCAACCCAGATTTTATTTCATGTTGAAAGCCCAGAACAACTAGGTGGGTGGGATAAGGCGACCCCGACAGAAACAGGGGGGCCGGGGCTGAGCGTTGGCTCCCAGCCCTTCCCTGATGCTTCACCATAGACCAGAAAAAAAGATGAACTTTCCTTCAAGTCATTTGTCATGAGTCAAAAATGTCTACGAGAGGGATTTCTTTCATATAAGTAAGGGAAATTGTAAAGATTGCTCTCCATCTCTTGAATTCTTGAAAATGACTGTATTTCTAGGTATAACCTTCTGGCAGGAGAGCCCAGGGGAGAAGTCCTTGATAACTCTTTCACTGGAGGAAACTGTAAAACCGCCAAAAGTGCTAAAGCAAGTAACCCCTACCGTGTTTCGGCCAATCTGGAAAACGTCAACTTTGAGGTATGAAGGCCTCTAGCAGGGGCAGGCCAGGGCCAACGGTGATTTTAATCTAAATTCCCAATGAAAGATTAGTGAGGAATGAAGGGGCAGAATAAAAAGGTAGTGCACATTTTTAATGACCTCTTATGTGTTAGTGTTTAGTCCTTTCACAACCCAGTGAGGTCAGTCTTGTATCATCAATTTATAGATGAAAAAACTAATATAATTAACATACCCAAAGTCAAACAGCTAGTAAGCAGCAGGTTAGAGATTCAAGCCCAGGATTCCCAAACTCCAGAGTTCATGTTTTCCCCAATGAACATAAGCTGTGACATATCCCCACACAGAAAAATGGTGATTTATTCAGAATTTCCTCCTACCATAGCTCATTCTCTCAGGTAACCACTACATTTGGACATGAAGGAGCGCCTGCCTTCTAAAAAGTCAAATGGCTCTAAGTATAAGGGGGTAGTTCTGCCCCCTTCCTTCCTATGTTATTAGCTGACTTGGTTTTCTGTGTGTTTTCCTAAGTGGTAATGAGCTTCACACTACATACTCCCAGAATCTAGCCCAGTGCCTTACACGTGATAACTGTTCCATACTTGTTGAACAAAACAATCTATTTCTTTTCATTTATGGTAAGAGAAACAAAAAAGATATGATTTTAATGGTAATATCCATGCACACAAATTGACATGCTAGAGAATTTCAGGTCTAATGATTTTTTTTTTTTTTTAATCCTACCTGAGGATATTTTTTCCCATTGCTTTTCAGAGAGAGTGGAAGGGGGGGGGGAGAGGAGAGAGAGAAACATCAATGTGAGTGAGAGAGACACATTCATTGGTTGCCTCACCTGCCCTGACCGGGCCAGAGATTGAGCCGGCGACCAAGGTAGGTGCCCTTGGCCAGAGCCAAACCTGGGACCCTTCAGTCCACAGGCCGACCTAATGATTTCTGAGACCATATTATGGAGGGTATGAGTTCAGCAAAAGTCAGTCATTCAACCCTTTCTTTGAAACAACTTTTATATACATATAAATGCAGGCATTTTCTAATTTGATAAACTCAATTTAACATCATCTAATATATATTAATGGTGTGGGGGATGTCCTTAGGGTACAACTACCAAATTCCCTTTCATGGAACAGCATTCCTATTCTCTCCCTCGGCCCCCACCCCCCTCTCATCTGCTTGGTCAACAATTTCTGATGACTTACCTCCTAAAAAGCTTTTCAATCCACCAGTTTTCCTCTATCCAATCACCACTCCCCTAGGCCTGTCCCATTTGACTTATTACAACAGTTTTTAAACCACTCTCCTTGTCTCCATTTTAGTTAACTATCATTCACATGATCTTCACAAAATAAAAATGTGATGGTAACACTCCTAATTTTTCATTCATTCAGTTAATACTTTTAAAGATCTTATGTGCAAAAGCTTGCCTTCAGAATCCAATCCAAGTATTTTAGCAGGGCCTACAAGACCTGGCCCGGTTTCCCAGGTCCATGCAGTTTTTCAGCACTGCTCATCTGGGAGCCTACCCTCCCACCAAGCTCATGTGCATGGTCAGATTTTCTCTGAGCTTCTGCCAGGATACCCAAGCCCCCTTCCTTACATGTAAATATTTTTTTCTTTAAGCTGACACATCTTTTCTTGTGTGAGAGCTAATTCATGAAGTATCTGAATTTTTTTAGAGGAATGGTGCGGAAATGTCAGCAACTATTTCGAAATATGATTACATTGCTTTGGTGTTAAGAGCTTTATTTGTAGGCATTTTAAATGCTAAGTAGTGCAATGCAATATCTGAAAGTAACAGTGAACTTTTGACTGTATTTTACTGTTGAGCAGGACTTTTTGCAGCTGAGTTATTTTATCTTCATTTGACTAATTGTACAAGCTATTTAATTGTGACATGTGGTTTGCCTCACTGTGTATTTGAATACTGAGTATTTTTTTAAAAGAAGAAACTTTTTCCTTGCAAACCAGACAAACATAAACAACTACTCTTCAATTTGCTTTGCAGCATTTATTTATTTATTTATCCACTGTTCTCTTCTTACCTGCGAAACCATAACAAGTATTTAACTTGTATTTAAAATCGGCTCCACTCAACTCAACTCAACTCAAGTCCCACTGGCTCTTCCTCTTCTTCCCAGACCAAGTCAGTGAAGACTCATAACCACCCACCAGGCAGAACCAATTGATCTTTTGTCACCTGCCTTGTAGACATGGACATAAAGTGCTGATGCCCAACACTGAGTAAGGCTAAGGGTTGGGGGTGATTCCAGCACAGGATCAGACAGGACCTGCCCTCTCCTTTCCTAGGCCTTAATTTTCCGAAAGATGTCTGAAATTAGATTGCAAACTGCATCTAATTCACAGGCAGACTGAAGACAGTCCTCATTGCTTATTCACCCAATAAGTCTAAGCTTGGGAGTCATTTCCTTGAGCTAGACTTTCCTGGTATTGTCTCTCTGGGTTTTATAGTTATTTGTGGCAATTCCATGGACAGCTCAACACTTCGCCTATTGAATTAAGTATCTGTGATTGCCTTGCTCCCTAACTAAACTATTGACTCCCTGCGGGCAGGAACTAATATTATTCCCTGTTCTGTAGCAAAATGAGTCCTCACTAAAGATTTATTGAGTGCATAAATGAATGGTCATTGAGTTAGATCTTTACAAGTGGCTCCGGCATTTCCTAAATTCTGTTATATTTCCTATGGGTTTTTCTCCAGACAGAAGTTAAAGAAGAAGATTTGAAAACAGAGTTCTATAAGGATTTAACTCCTGTTGAACAGAGCAAAAATCAAAAAAGCTTAGGTAGGTACGAATCGCAGAGCGGTTGGTCCGTGCCAATTTTTTACTCCTCGACGCAAAGCCAGTCCTCCACCCACAATTCCGCCTTCAAAGAAGCCATCCAAGCCTCCCACAAAAAGGTAATACAAATGGTTCCTGATCTTTCTGTTCTTTCCCGAAAACTAACACCAATTCCAGCGACAAGAAGGCGGAAGTTTTGACATCCAAGCAGTGGGATTTCTCATTCATATTTAAGTAACTTTTGTGGTTTTTCGCGGTTGTTGATTTAGCCCACTTCAAAAATTATAGAGGTGATGTTGTAGTGATGCTTCCTTTTTGCGTGTATTTGGCTGTGTTTATGGTTGTTTTCTTTGTCTTACTGTTGTAGGCATATGCATTTCTTACAAACCACATGTCACGGGACTTGGCTTTTTCAATGTAATCTGGCAGTCTCAGGCCTTTGCTAGGGAAATGCAGCCAACTTGCATTTAGTGTGCTCACTGAAATACTTGCTTGTTTTCCTCCCGTCTTTCATTTTTCTTATTTTGCTTGGTTCCTGTTCCTTCTACCATCTTTGCCATAATTCTCTCCACCCCTTTTATTCTGGTCATTTTGGAAGTTCTACTAACTTTACAATTCTGCCTGTAGTCACCTTTCTCTAGTTATAAAGCATAACTATACCTGTGTTTTTTCTATCACATTAAGTAATATGTATAGTTCCCCAAAAGATGTTGCACCTACCTATTCTCTGCATCCATCTCCACTGTCTCCTTGATCAAACGTGCTCCCTACACCCCGCCCCTGTCATCACAGGCCTCCAAAACCTCAGCTCCATTGAGATGGTTCAGGACCTTCGTGTTCCGTAAAGATCATTTAGTATTGGCTCTCATATTATATGTGTACATTTGTATTTTATTCTGACTCTTGTCTTTGCTACTTAAAGATCCCTCACACAACACTTATAAATTCCAAGTTTTTTATTTTTTTGTATTTTATATTTGTGTTATATTTTATATATGTATTGGTGTGTGTGTGTGTGCATATATGTATTTTCTATTTACTTACAACCATTTTCTCTCCTCTTATCTTCTCTTTCTTGAGGTCCTTCTTTTCCTTTAATTGTCATATTTTTAGTATTATCCTCAGGTAGGATGTCTGCATAGAATATTCCCTAAGTATTTATAGTATATATAAAAATGCCTACATTTTCCCTGAGCAATCAAGATAAAGAATATCTTGGCTAAATGTGGAATCTGAAATCATAGTCTTCTTCGTTTGATGGTTGGTAGATATTATTCCACTGTCTCCTAATTTCCACTGTTGCACAGAAGAAATCACATGTAGAACTATTTTCTTTCTTTTATTCTGTCTGGAAATTTATAATTTTTTATGATTAAAATTTAGGAGATGTCTAAGTATTGGACTTTTCCCATTAATCTTTTTTTTAATCTTTTATTTATTTATTTATTTATTTAAATTTATCTTTATTGTTGAGAGTATTACAGGTATCCCATTTTTCCCCTTAATTGACCTCCTCCGCTTCGATCCCACCCCCTCACCCCATTATTGACTGTGTCCATGGGTTATGTATATATGCACATAACTTCTTTGGTTAATCTCTTCCCACCCTCCACACCCTTCCCTCTTTCTTCTGAAATATGATCATCTGTTGCCTGTGTCAATGTCTTTGGATCTATTTAGTTCATCATATTGTTTTGTTCATTAGCTTCTTCTTGAAGAAGACCCTTCAACATTTCCTGTAGTGCTGGTCTGTTGGTGATGAACTCCTTTAGCTTTTCCTTGTCTGAGAAGCTCTTTAT